CACAGCGCCACTTCCGGCTTTTTTCTTATGTGGTGCTGAGGAATCGAACCCAGGGCCTCGAGCATGCAAGGCAAGTGTTCTACCACTGAGCCACCTTCCCAGCCCTCCGTGAAACTTTTATGTCCAATTGATCAGCTAGAAGTGGAGCTGTGGCTCAAGTGGTAGAGCGCCAGCCTTGGGCAATAAAGCTGAGTGTGCCCAGGCCCTCGTTCCAGCCCCAGTACGAGCACACAAAAAGAAAAACCAAGACAAATACAAGTAAAAGTGCTTAGGATGGTGCTTTGGGCATAGTAAATACCCCGTTAGACGTTCTTAATGTTTGCCGCTTGCCATCCTCAGGAATGGCCCACAGAGCATATACCACCTTTACGAGCAAGTCAGCTACAACTGCTTCATCGCCGCGGGCCTCTACCTCCTCCTCGGAGGCTTCTCTCTCTGCCAAGTTCGACTCAATAAGCGCAAAGAATACATGGTGCGCTAGATCACGCTCCCGTCTCCCCCCCTTCGGCCTCCTCTATTTAAAGACTCCCACGCCTCACCTGGTCCACCCCACCCCACCGGCGTCCTCCGCGGAACCAGGCTTCCCTGTCGAGAGGTGGGATCCCTGGTTCTCTAATCTCTGGCGTCTCGCCCCCAACTAAGGGGTCCGCTTGCTCCCTTCTCCTAGTCTCGAGCCACAATAAACAGCGACCGCTCCCTCAAACCTCGTGTCTGTGCTTTAGTGAGGGGGACAGGCCTAGGCTCGGCCTTTCAGGTGGGGAGTCCCTTCTCAGCGACGGAAGTGAAGTGAAGCCGGCCGGAAGTGAGGCGGAGTCCTACACCGCTTCTGCCCCGGAGCGCCGTGGTAGTCTAAGTGACGGCGGTTGGTGGGGCGGGGAGAGACCAGCTGCAGGCCAATCAGCTGCGGGGAGGGCGGGACTTCCTGCGCGGGGGCCGGAGCGGCCGGGTCGACCGGCTCTCCGCGGTCCTGGCTCGCGTGGTGGCGGCGGCGGAGCGTCTCCGTTAGGAGGTGCGCGGGGGCCATGACGTCAGCGTCCACAAAGGTTCGACCTCCCTCCCGGACAGCGCTCCCTGGTGGCCACGGGGGGGTGGGCCCCCTGCCTGGCTCTGGTGTCTTCCGCGATGAGTGGGGGACGGGCGGGCCCGAGCCTGGGGTGGGGCTAGGGGCTCAGGGCCGGCCGGTTTGCGGCGTCGCCGGCCCCCTGTAACGCGCCGCCCCGCCCCCAGGTCGGAGAGATCTTCTCGGCGGCCGGCGCCGCGTTCACGAAGCTCGGGGAGCTGACGATGCAGTTGCACCCAGTGGCCGACTCTTCCCCAGCGGGGTACGTGAGCTCGGGCTGGGACGTGGACGCCGAGAGCGGACGCTGGCACTCAGTCACAGACACGGCCCCTATCTAGCGCAGGGACAAGGGTTAGTTGCTCTTTGTGCCTGACACAGCACCGAGTAGGTGTTAATAAACGATTCTCGGATGAGTGAATGAATGGCAGGTGAAGACACAGACTGGTCCTCGACCCAGATTTCTGTTATTCCCCCTGTTGCGAATCGACAGTTTACCGACCGTTTCTCTGACCCCCGCATTGGGACTCCCTCTGCTGCAGACTGTTGAGGGATTGTTTGTAAAGCCCCTATGCGTTGAATTGGTTTCCGTGGGCTGTCAACAGCTCTTGCACGTTTTGAGAGACAAGTTCAAAAGTGACAAATGGATACAATTTCATGTAGTTGGAAGCCTCCGGAGACCCCCTGGGGGGATCCTCAGATGGGTGGGAGGGGGCTGCTTGGCTGTGGGATGCGTAGTCCATGGGCTAGCTCCACACCGTCCTCCTCCCGTTTTTTGCTATCCTCCTCCCCCTTCCGACAGTGCCAAGTGGACGGACACGGAGATAGAGATGCTGAGGGCTGCTGTGAAGCGATTTGGGGACGATCTTAATCACATCAGCTGTGTCATCAAGGAACGAACAGTGTGAGGGAGGGTGGCTTGCAGAGCAAGGGGGGGTGGGGCAACTTGCTTCCTCTGTACCTATCACCCATCTTCCTTAGAGCTCCCTTCTGATTGCACATCTTTCTTATTTTGTTGCTAGTTTTATTAGCATTCCCTTGAAAATTGGGGGGGGGAAATGTAAGAATTGTCACCATATTTCAGAAGTTCAGAAAATGCTGTAGTAACAAGGATTGTCTGAGAATATAATTTTAAGGGTGCCCAATATATTCGATTATTATATTTAATAGTGGGACTTTTTTGGTAATTATATGCACTCATGTTTCTAGGGATATTGTGATTCTGAACTAGTTGATCAGGATCTAAGTCTCAACCTACCTGTAAATCAATAAGCCTTACCTGGTAGCCCTACACATTCATACATCTCTCCCAGAAAAGAATTAGGAAGTGGTCCTTTCTGGCTAGTTAGTTCAGGGACTCCACTCTTTCATCCTATTGGCTTTACAGAAGTGAAAAGCTTCAGGTAAAATGAGAGCCCTGCCAGTGGCTGGAGCCCTGGCCTGGATTCTTATGAAGGAGCTCCTAAAATTCCTTCAGAATAACCCATTACCCCTTCCCCTATCCTCTTCCTTCAGCCTCTCTCTGAAGGTGTCACACCTTCACTAACCTGCTGCCTCTTCTCTTCAGGGCTCAGATAAAGGCCACTGTGAAACGAAAAGTATATGAGGACTCTGGCATCCCTCTTCCAGCGGAGTCACCCAAAAAAGGTCCCAAAAAGGTGGCATCTGGTGTCCTGTCGCCTCCTGCACCTGCCCCTCCACTCAGCAGCAGTTCCAGTGCCCCTGATGCCAGCGGTCCTGCACTGAAGAAACAGAAGACTGGTGAGGGCTGTGGAGTTGCTGACTAGGGTAGAGGTTAGAGATCCCATCTGAAGGTCAATGAGAAGATAGGGCCTGGGTCAAAGGACAGATACATGTTCGTTTCCCTGTGGTGGTTTTCAGAGGGGGGAGGGATAGTAAAATAGGAAGCTTTGGAAATCTGGGGACCTAGAACCTAGCCTATGCCCCCTCCCAGATGTGACCCTCAGTGCTCTGAACGACTCCGACGCCAACAGTGACCTGGTGGATATTGAAGGGCTAGGAGAAACTCCTCCCGCCAAGAAACTCAACTTTGACCAGGGTAGGAGTCCTTCTCCTCCCACATTGGTGCAAGGGCTTGGGAAGGAAAAGTGCTCAGTGCAGGCGATTGGGTCAGTAAATAGCAGGTTATCTGGGGAGATGGGCATTGTCTTGGAAGCCTACTTGAGTCTTGCTCCATCTCCGTTCATTTTACTTCCTGTTCCAGACAGCCTGACGCTGGATTCTGGCCTTCTCCCGACCTCTACTGATGTTCCTCTACTCTCCTGCTGACCCTTCCACCTCTGACCCTCTCACTGTTCACTTTGGACCTGTGGATCGCATGGAACTTTGAGCAAAGCCTTCAGGAGAGAGGATCAGAGGGCTGCTGGAGCAATCTGCTTGGTACCTCCTAAGAACCGTCTGTCCCACCCCCTCGCCTCCATCAGATGGACATTTTTATACAGACAACAATAAAGATTTCTCCCACCATAGTGCTGTCAGTTGCTGCTCCCTCTTCTCTCTTCAGCCTCCGGCCCCTCCTGTAGCTCTCACCACCCTGCCTGGAGCAGCACAGCCAATATTGGCAGACTTGTTTCCCCAGTGCCAATATTTCTGTGCTGCTAGAGCCAGGGGAGCTGGGTGTGGGCAACAAAAACTGGAGTCTTTGCTCTCTGGAGCCAGAACTTCCATGTCGCTGGAAGGCAGTGTTTCTGAGACAACCTTGGGGGCTTTGCAGAGGTTTTTTCATACCTTCTTCCCCACCTTGCAGGAGCTTATCATGAGGCCCCAAATGCGGCTTCTCCAGAATGGCTTTCTAGGCCCAGGCCTCAGCTGTGTGTCCCCTACCCTCGCTCTAACACCACAGTGTGGTTTGGACGTGGCCACAGTGCCGTACAAACCACAGTGTGCTGCTGGGGCGGGAGCAGGACTGGCTGGGATGGATTGAGAGGAAAATACAACACAGGGCTGTGAAATCCTCCATCACCAAGAGCAGGAAAATAAAGGAAGGCGGAAAAGGTGAACATGGTCCCAAAGAAGTTAGGGAAAACCAGGAACCAGACGGGAGTTGAGCAGGCAACTGGAAGAGGGACCTGGCTCGGAGCTCAGTTTGATAAGACTGGAGCCATCTTCCCTCTGTAGAAACTTAGCATAGGGAATCTCTAGAGCGGGGGACACGGGCAAAGAAAATAGGGGAGTTGGGGAAACCAACAAACTGCCTCAGCAAGGGCAGGGCCCCAAGGCTTCCTGTGTCTGAGATCCTCCCCTCCCTAGGTCAGAACCCAAGAATAACGCTACAAGAGACAGAGGGCCAAGGACTGCAGGATTGGGAGTTGGCAGTCCAGAGGTGGTGGGGCCGGAACATGGTTGGAAGAGGGGGGCCGGAAGTCGCCTTGGGCCCTGTTCCTGCCACAAGATGGAGGCCAAAGGCAGGAAATGGAGGCCAGGGGGGAAAGGGGTACTGCAGGGCCCTGAAAGAGGGGCATCTGGACCTGGGAGCCAGGTATTGTGGCCCCAGTGCTGTTCTCATTCCCCATGACCCCCCCAAGGCCCATATCCGAGACCCACAGCAACTCTCATCAGTCTATCCACTAGGCCCTGGCAGGCAGGCCCACCCCTGAGAGCCACGTTTAAAGCAGAGACAAACATGCCTCTTCCCATCCCCCAACTCTAGGCCTTCCCCAGCCTTTTTCTCCTGTCCAGGACTTGAATTTTTAAAAGCACCTCCCAGAGTGCAAAAATCCAAGGGCCAAATCCCTCCTGCAATCAAAATAATATACTGTAAAACCCCAGTGTTCTCCTCCTATATCCCATCGCACCTTTTACTGCCCCCCTTCCGACACACCCCCCAAAACTCTTAGCAATCAAAAAAGATCTAAGATGGTGTATGTAAGCAGTCTTTTTAGGCCCCTGAAGATGCCAGAATTTCTCCCGAAGTGCTCTATTTGTCCCCAGCGAGCCCTGCCAAGGTCTCTTGCTCCTCACTATACCCTCCAGAGCCCCCCCAAAAAACAGCTGCCCTAGCTTCCACCCCGGCAGAACCTTGGTGGGGGTAAAAAAAAGAAATCAAACACCATCCTAATGACTGTGGATGTTGGGGGGCTCTCTGGTGTCAAGCCTTGGTTTCCATCTGGAGGGCTTCAATTTAGGGGCATAAGAGAAAGCTTCTCAAGTCATCCCCCCAACTCCAAGGCTGACAAAGCCCAACCCCACCCCAACACGCACCTCCAAACCTCCCCCCATCCGCCATGTCTCTCCTGAAAACAGGGGACACTTTCCTCCCCACTTACCTCAGCTACTCTCCCCTGAGATGGTGGTCCCCTATTTTGAAAGGAGCAAAATTTGGGGTGCATCCCTCACATTTGGGGTGCAGGAGAAAGGAGCCGCCCCACTCGCATCGCTGGCCTCCTTCCTCTTGGCTGGCTCAGGGACTGGGGAGTGCCCTGGAGAGGGGGGACCCCCACAAGAGAACTCTGGAGGGGGTTCCTCCACTCCAAGTCAGAATTGGGGACACCCCCCCCAAAACCCGTCCCAGCCCATCCGTCTCCAACTCGGCGGGAGAGGCAGCTGCAATGCCCCAGTCAGATTCCCCCAACACTACATTCCTCACCCCATCTAGAGGGGTCCCGGGACCCCCAAAAAATCCCCAAAAAATCAAGGATGTTTGGAAGACGGTCCTGAACTAGCTCTCCAAATTTGGGGTCCTTAGATACCCCCGTTTTTTCAGGAAAATTCTGTCTTTCGTCTGTCTCCCGCCAGCCCTGCTCTGTCCCGATGCCAATTTTGGAAGTCACTCCCTCCTTCCTCCTCCCGGTCTCTCCAGGCCCCCCCGCTCGGGGGGGCTAGGGTCCAGGACACCTGGCTTCCAGACAGGGGGGGGCACTCCTCAAAGGGCTAGGGGCCAGGAGGTCAAGTTCATTGCCCCTGTCTCAAGGAAGCAGGCAAAGACCGATCCTCCCCTCCCCTCCCCCCTGGCTGGTCTCGGTGGTGGTTTAGGGAAGCCTGGAGGATTGGAATCTGCCATTGCTGTTGCACAGGCAGTTTTTTTTTTTTTTCCTTGGGTTGGGGGGGTGGGCGGTAGGAGGGAGAGAGGGGAGGAGAGCCGGAGAGAGCCGGGACCCAGGCGGGAAGATCTGGCCTGGCTTAGCCTCTAGCCCCTTGCTGCCCGTGGAGCACCCCTCCCCCTCAGCTCACTCATACTCACAGTCCCTCTCTGCCTGCTTTCTGTTTGGGGCTCTTGTCCTAGAAAATCGGGGTGCTGGAATCACTTCTTTGTACCCCACCACGACCCCTCCTAGCCACAGTTCCAAATGCATTGCCCTGCTCAGAGGTATGCACTTAGCCAAGTGACACCCCATTTTCCTGCACCTACCCCCACACTACTGGGATTTTTTCTCTCTCTCTCTTTAGGATCAGAGGCTGAAACTACCCTTTCCTCCTCAGGTCTCAGATCTATCCAGGCCACATACTACGAAGTCCGGGAGGAGACAATGTGCCTTTTCCAGATTTTTTTTCCCTCCAAATGCTATGCTGTTTGGGGGGTTTATTAAAGAAATTTCTAGAATTTGGGGTGAAAGGATGTTATCAGCAAATGACATGACAAATTAGAAATGTTAGGTAAATCTCCAAATCAGTCTCATTTTATCATCCCTCTCCTACCTTCTCTAAGTGTGTTCAGAGTAACAAAACGCCCCTAAGTAAAGACACCCCAAAACTTTATAGTCTTCTACCTTGGCAGTCTTCACATTGTTTGTCCTCTGGAAATTTCATGACTATCCATGCGTACACAGGAATAGTCTCCCCTCAAAGTAAGTCTCTACAAGACTCAAATATAAAACTTAGTTTTCAGTCCTCCCCAACCCCCAACAGCTTTTACACTTGCCTCCCACCTCCCTCCCTATCATGTTCAAAGTAATTTTTTAAGCTCCATATTGAATTTCATGTCTCCAGCAATCTAATCACAGCCTTGAAATGTCTATGGCACCACAACAGACTGACTCCCAAATCGGCCTGCGTACTCTGGCTCTACTGGTGGTACAAAATAATAGAAATTGACAATTATCTAAAGTGTGCATGTCAGACCCCTCCCCCCAAAAATCCTCACAATGTAGCATCCATATTCACCTCTCAAATTTTAGTATTAGAGGCTCTCAAGGATAAAAACAGACTTAATGAATTCCATGCTCTATAATAATGTCACTACAGAGATGATCAGCTGACAGTCCATCCTGATATCAAAAGGAATCACTAATCTAGCTCTCATCTCCAAAATCAGTAACTCTCCAAAGTAATTCTCACCTCCAAAATCAGTAACTCTCCAAAGTAATACCCCATTACCCTGAATCCTCAGTTGTCTGTCCCCAATTCCCACTTTTCCTTTGTGAAGCTCCATGATCACTGCTCAGCCATTGTTGGTCACTTGTATACACTTCTGAACCCAAACCTTAAGACCTCCTGCTTCTAACCTGAGCCCTTTTTCCCAGATCAACCTTGGCCATCCTCAAACAAAAACATAAGGATGTGGTCCATGCCTATGTCCCTTTCTTCTCCCCTCACCCCCACAGTGCCCCTCCTTTTCTCGGAGTTTATTCCACTCAATTTTTATATTAATTTTCACTTTAAAAAATCGCCTCTGATGACATCTAGATATTAGGTCTTTTTTTTTTTCAGTCATGGGGTTTGAACTCTGGGCCTGAACAATTCATCTCAAGGCTAGTGCTCTACCACTTGAACCACAGTGCTACTTTCGGCTTTTTGTGCTTATGTGGTGCTGAGGATTTGCACCCTGGGCCTCATGTGTGCGAGAGGCAATCACTCTATCACTGAGCCACCATCCCAGCCCCAAGGTCTGCCTTTTAAAATGTAACCTAGGCTGAGCTTGAAGTCACAATCCTCCTGCCTGAGCATTCCAGTACTGGGATTATAAATGGGTGTCACAAAGCCCTACTTAACCGTGTATCTTAATTAGCTAAAAGTAAAAATAAAATAAAATTCTGGCACAAGCTCCACTCCTTGTCCGACCCACTCCCCTCACTCCCAAAGCCTGTGGGCTTTCCACCTCAGAAAGGCCTCCAGCCAGAGAGACCTCGCAATCCCCTAACTCCACCTCTTCTAGCAGAGTACCCCCTGGAAGAGTCAAAAGTGCAAAAGAAATTGCTGTTTAGGAAAAGAGGTAAAAGTTTCAGTCGCTCAGATCCAATCCATCCTGTTCCTGGGTCTGAGCACCCGCTGCCGGATTTTAGGGGGGGGGGGGGGGGGGGGGAGAGCAACAGGGCCGTGCGAGGCTGGTACTCGGCCGCCCCCTCGTGGAAGGAACCAGACATTGCCGAGCTTTGCTTGCTTGCGGCTCTGGACCCCGGCGTCCCGCCAGGCTCAAAGAGCAGCCGACGGGCGGGAGGTTTAGGCCGTAGTGAGCTGGAAATAGCGGAGGACGGACGAGCGTCTGGGAAAAGGAGTGCGTCGCTCTGGAAAAAGTCCCCAGGAGCAAGTAGCCGGACGCCTAGATCTCCCGAGCATCTCTTGGCCCCCACCCGGGGCTTTCCCCACCTCCTCGAGGGGAAGCAGCTGGCAAGGGCCATCCGGTCAAGGGACAATGGAAGGAAACTAACTAGAAATCATATCCGCCCTCTTCCTACTCCGCCCGGTCAGAGGTTCCCCCCCCACCTCCTTTTTATAGGACCTGCTAGAAGGGCCTGTCACTCGTCACACCTTCCCACTGTCTGAGACCCCGCGACCCTATCAACACCTCCCCAAACCTGGTGCGTTGCGTTCCCACACCACCCCCTGAACACAGTACACAAAAAAGGAACTGTTGCTGTTGTTGTATTCATTTTCTCCTTCAACAGGCTCTAAAAGACAGCACGCCGATTTTCAACGTTCCGTGCCCTTTGGCAGATGTTCTCCCCGCCCCCCCTCCCCATTTCCAACCTCAACACCCCGTCTCCTCCCCCAACTCCAATATCCTCATCCACGGCTCCACTGGTAAATTCAGCAACGCACCTACTTTCCTATTACCCCTCGTTTCTGAGGTCCCGCCTTTGAGATGGAGACCCCGCCCCGGGCTCGCCATCTGGAGAGGGAGGGAGGAAGGAAGGATACGGACCCAGGCGTTCACCCCACCTCCACCCCCGCCCCCGCCATCCCGGCCTGATAAAGGAGCCGAGGCTCGAGGGGAAAGAGACCCGCCCCCCCTTGAGAAGAGAAACCGCAGCCCCTGCAGGACGGGGGTAAGAACCAGACTTGAAGGGAACCAGATTCTTGGGTTTCCCCCCCCCCCCAAGAACTTGACTCTTGCTGAGGATAGTTAGGCATAACTCCCTAAAATTGTGCCCAACTAGAAATCGGGAACTAGATAGGAATACAGGACTCTGGTTTTGGGGAGGGGGGGGCTGGGGCGTGTAGGGATGGTGGACCGCAGGCCATCTGTGGTCACTTGGTAGGACCAGGCACCTGAGACCCAGGCGCACTGCGAGCCGGTGAAAGGAAGGTAGGCGGTGCTCGAACCGAAGGCGCTGCGTGCAGGATTCATGATCACCATTATCGCAGCTGTGTGGGAATCTTCTCCTGGCTTCCCGCGCTCTGGGATCCAGCAGAGGGAGGAGAGCGATCGCAAGCTGGAGGGGCAGAATGGACTAGATGAGTTCTGGAGGGCTGCGTGTGCTGGGGAATCCGGAGGCCCGGGTTCCCCGGCAGCACCTCGGGGAGAGGCGAAAGCAAGGTAGAAAGAGGTCTGTGGGACTGCCTGCATCTCCGAGCCCTTCCTTCCCTGCTCCCCGCAGGCCTGTGCGTCGCCATGGGCTCCGCCGCGGCCCCCGAGGGAGCCCTGGGCTACGTCCGCGAGTTCACTCGCCACTCGTCCGACGTACTCGGCAATCTGAACGAACTGCGCCTGCGCGGGATCCTCACTGACGTCACGCTGCTGGTCGGCGGGCAACCCCTCCGAGCGCACAAGGCGGTTCTCATCGCCTGCAGGTTCGCGGGGCGGATGGGGCTCGAGCTGCCATGAAGCTACTTAGAGGGAATCCAAGGCCCACACCTTCCAACGATCAAGAAGGGGGGGGGGCCTCCCAGGACTGGGGATGATGGGGGTGGCCGTGGGGAGGGGGGAACTTTCTAAAGCAATGGGTATGCCCCTTGGGCTCCTGGTCCCTAACATGATCTATCTACCTACTCGCTTTCCAGTGGCTTCTTTTACTCAATTTTCCGGGGCCGAGCAGGAGTGGGGGTGGACGTGCTCTCTCTGCCCGGGGGCCCCGAAGCCAGAGGTTTTGCTCCTCTCCTGGATTTCATGTACACGTCGCGGCTTCGCCTCTCTCCCGCCACCGCGCCAGCAGTCCTTGCAGCAGCTACCTACTTGCAAATGGAACATGTGGTCCAAGCATGCCACCGCTTCATCCAGGCCAGGTGAGGGAGACCTGGCTCTGTGCTCTCCCCGCTCAGCCACGGGCACAGGCAAGGAATATGAAATAGCACTAATGAGCTGGGTGCCCCAGGCTCAAGCCTATAACTCTAGCCGCTCAAGAGATTGAGACGGAGCCGGGTGCTCTTGGCTCTCGTCCGCAATCCTAGCTACTCAGGAGACTGAGATCTGCATCCTAGCTACTCAGGAGACTGAGATCTGAGGATCAGTGTTCAAAGCCAGCCCTGGCAGAAAAGTCCACACGACTCTTATCTCCACAAACCACCAGGAGACTGGAAGTGTCTCTGTGGCTCAAGTGGTAGAACACCCGCCTTGAGCTAAAGAGCTCAGGAACATCGCCCAGGCCCATAGTTAAAGCCCGACGACCGACCAAAAAAAAAAAAAAAAATAGGCTGAGACTTGAGGAGTGTCGTACAATGCCAGTTCAGGCAGGAAAAATCCATGAAATTCTCTTATCAGTCCTGGGGTTTGAACTCAGGGCCTAGTTCTTTTTTTTTTTT